ACTTTTTACCACACAGATGATATGATGAATCATCATATTTTAAATAAGATGCTAACTGATGTGTATTTAATAAACAATGTAAAAAACATTATTTTCCTTTAGTGGAACATTAGATTCGAGAGTGTTTTTATCACTGTTGTTGGCATCTTTTGAGATAAATATTTTAGTTTTAACTGTTTTATAACAAATATCAGACTTATCTGAAGTGTTCTTGGAAACAGTAGGAAAGAATAATTTAGACTGAATTGGTTTTTGTATTTTGTTATCTGTAGATGGAAAACTAGACTTAAAAATTTATATTTTTTGATGTTGAGTAAATTTGAATCACTTATAACAATAGCTGGTCATTTTTTAAGAAGATATTTAACCAGTGCCACAAAATAATTTGGCTTAAAGCATAAAACACTTTTATTTTTTGTTTTATCTAAATTGCACAGCAAAATATTAATTGGACAATTTAATTTTTGGATGCAAGGCTTTATAAGGGTATTAAAAAAACTATGATTTATGATTATTTTTTGAAACCAATATTAGCATAAATAGGTTCAATAGGTTGCTTTATAACATTATATAATGCTATTAGGCAAATGAAAGATGACATTCAGAAATCATATTATCGCTAATTGTTGAAAAACTGTCAGTGTATTTAAACAAAACAGCAATAAAAAGCAAATTTAGAAAGCTGAGAATTCTAAATCTATGTTGAAAAAAATAATCATACTATGTGTAAAAATTTATGCTTTCAAATAATTCAATTGATGTCAGTAATCTTAGAAATTTTGAAGTATGCTTACTGTCATTTAAAATCAAAGATACTGAGCTATAAAGACAAAATAAATGCAAACAAATCACATAGTATATAAACTATGTAACATAATAAATTTATATTTAACTTATATATAAATATTTTATCGTACATACTTTATAACTAACTTGTGGACTTTTTAGTCTTTTTTTTTTTGCATTATAATCATTCATATATACATATATATATATATATATATATATATATATATATATATATATATATATATATATATATATATATATATATATATATATATATATATATATATATATATATATATATATATATATATTAGCTATATACATTAATATAAATGTAACATCTATAAATGAGGACAAAAGTAGTGTTGGGTGAACTTTATTTTTCACTATTCAATACTCAGATCTGAAAACAATTTCAAATCAAGATAAGACTAATTAAAATAAAAAAGTAAAAATTATAAAATTGTATCCCTCAGATTTTTAGAAAAAGAGTTTTGAAAATGTAAACAAATCACGCTTTTAACAGTCAGATAAATGTAGCAGAGAATCACAGTTTTTTATATACTAAAACATCTTTATATTGTTTTTATCATTTTTGAATCAACAATTCAATTATCTTCATTATTATTTCATTCTATTAAAATATGCAAATAATAACTACTAAGTAAAACTTTAAAAATATTGTTGCTACTCAGAAAAATTTTTGTATCTAAAGGCCGTCACCATCTTTAAAATTGTAATATTTGAATTTGACACTGCGCTTGCGTATAATAACTTTCCACTTCTAAACGACCTTGTGTAGGTGGAAAAAGAATTGAATTGAATTGAATGAAAATAAAACGACTTTGTGTAGGTGGAAAAGGAAAGGAATTGATAATTGCAAGCCTAAAGTAAATATTCTTCTATGGATTTATGATGTTATAAAGAAAGATTTTGATTATTTATCTGATGATTCTCTTCTTACAAAATGCATTCATGGAAAGACACAAAATTGTAATTCGATGTCCAAAAAATATTTTTGTTACAAGATTTTTTCTTGAAGTAGATGTTAATTCTGCAATACTTTATTACAATGATGGTACATACGGTCTTAACAGAGTTTTTAAGTTTCCTAATATAAAATTTGACTTGAAAAACTCATTGGGATTTCAATTGAAAGATGCAAAGCGTTTAAAAAACATGCTTAAAAAAGATGATGTCAAAGTAAAAAAAAAAAGAGAAAAGATAAAACCATTAAAAAAGGTTGGAATAATAATATAAAAGAAACTTCATCACAAAAAGCTTATTTATCTGGAGAATTTTAAATTTTTTATGCTTTTGTATTTTATTTTTCTTATTTTCTCAGAATTGCATTTTAACGATACTTAGTTAGATATGCAACGTGATATTTTAATATTGGGTCAAGCAATTTACTTCAAATATTCAGGAGTTATTCAAAATACTTAAATGAAGGGAATAAATGTAAAAAAAAAATTTTAAAATGCATTGATTTTTTGCCTTTTTAGTATTTTGACATAGCTCTACCCCTTGAAAATATTGAAAAAAGCAAAAAATGTGAAATAAAAAGGCAAAGTAGTGTTTGTTTTTTGAGATTTTAATTCATTCCCTTTATTTCATGGGTTGAGAGACAAAAATTAGCAATTATTTCTAAAACTTTAAAACTTAGCAATTATTGTTAAGTTTTAAAAATTAAACATTAATATCGCTTAAAAAATCGTGTTGTAAGTGTAGGTGTTAAATGCTTCATTTTCATTTTATATATTTTATATATATATATATATATATATATATATATATATATATATATATATATATATATATATATATATATATATATATATATATATATATATATATATATATATATATATATATATATATATATATATATATATATATGCATGTATATATTGTGCGGCCGTGGCGCAGTGATTAGAGCGCATACTTTTTAAGCAGGAGATCCAGGTTCGAAACGAGCTTTAGACATATTTTGCGTCACGGTAAGGAAGGAGGCGTGAACTTCCTGGTTAAATGCCCTTTCGCGGTGCTCTGTGACAAGACCGTAAGGACTTCTTGGGGAACCTAAATAACAAATTTCAGATCTTTATTGACAAGAACAATGTCAACAAATTTAGTTTCAACATGCTCATACAAGAAAAGCTCCGGAAGAGGGATGGTATCAAGAATAAAGTTCCGGAGGAGGGATGGTATCACACGGATTAATAACATTATTCAATAATTTCATAACTTTATATGGATATTTTGCTTCTTTGTACCGTTGGTAATCTGAGCTTCAGGAGGCAAAAGTTCTTAGGTTGCCTGAAGAGCTAATTTTACTAGTACAGTAACAACAACCGTGTTTTCCACTATAATCCTTTATGTTGTTATGGTCTTCTGAGATTTAATTTTTTAACACACTCATGTAAAAACTTATTAAAATTTCTTTTTGATATGTTAAGAAGTATATTTATGAGTTTTTGGTCAGAAGCTACAATTAAAGTGATTTAGCAAGCAATTCATATTTTAATGTCTTTAAGTATAGCAAAAACTATATAAACTCTCTATTTAAAGTTTGGGAGAAACTTACATACAAAAAATTAAAATAAACCTATCTAGCCATTGATAAAGTAATAAAGTAACTTTTGAAATCATTAATTCCCAGCTTCACTATTGTTTAACAACACATAGTTTATGGTTCTTACATAATTCCTTTATGTCATTCTAAAATGACGTAAAAAAACTTAATTCAGGTTAAGAAGAAAATTGCAGAAAATATAATTCCTGAAGATATTTATCAAATTCTAGTACACGCAGTTAAATGTTGAAATGCAAAGCAACAGCGATCAATTTTCAAAAACACTCACGAAGAAAACATTCTAAAGTGATCTTTTATTATCTTTATTATCTCTTGGTATTTTAAACTTTTTTATGTATTTTTATTTTCTAAAAATGTTTAATAAAATAATATATATATATATATAATAATAATATATATATATATATATATGATAATATATATATATATATATATATATATATATATATATATATATATATATATATAATATATATATATATATATATATGAGTTTTGGTCCGGCGCAAATCTTAACTTCCTTTAATGCAATCAAAACTTGGCCGGCGCAAATCTTATTTGCGTTTACTGCAAGCAAAAAAAAATCTTTTTTAAAACTTTCTTTTTTATATGGTTAATTAAAGTATGCCAAAAGTTATGTATTGTCTATATTGAAAAATGGGGTAGGGGGAAGTATACTCGTTTAAAAATTAAAGATATAATTTTAAAACAGAGTAGTAACACATATTAATTGCAATAGTTTACATAAAACTTTTTTTTAGTTGGATTTAAGTTTTTATTTGACGCGTTAATTGAAAGTATTCCCTACGTGACACAGCTACCACCGGATGTTATTTATAACAATTTATAGCGCGGATATTTTCATTTTTAAACAATGCGTATTCGTTCGGTTAAAAAAAAAAAAAAAAAAAAAAAAAAGGGAAATCCGTGTAACCAAAAATTACTGATTTTCTATTTTTATTATCTGTTTTCCCAGCATATTCGTTTCTTAAAAAAAGTAGTTTACTCACTCTTCAAGTTTTAAATATTTAAACAAACTAACAAACAAAAAAATCTGTTTTTACATATATATATAAAATAATTATCTGATAACTTTATTATATCGCGTTACGAGTTAAGTAAAATTCCTTTTTATTTCTAAAATCTGCTGAGATAATATCAATCAAGCTCAAAAAATTTTCTGGGTAATAAACTTCATCATTCTTTTTTCTTATTATTGCTTAAATTTGTTTAAAAGAGATCAAAAGATGGGAGGCATTAGAAAAACAAAACTATAAAAACAACAAAAAACAAAAAAAAAAAACAGAAGAAAATTCTTTATCCTATAAAAATGACGGTTTGCAAAATCTGTCAATGTTAGATATTTGAAAAAAATAAATAAATAAAAATTCTGACTATTAACACATCCTAAAGAATTGAAGTTTACACAAATCTAGTTTAATTTTTATGTTAATGTCAATATGTGTGTGTATATATATATATATATATATATATATATATATATATATATATATATATATATATATATATATATATATATATATATATATATATATATATATATATATATATATATATATATATATATATATATATATATACATATATACATATAGTAAAAAATTACCATATAATTAAAGGCTTTTGTTGATGAAAGAAGTATATATTGATATTAATGTAAATTAATTTAACTATTAATATTTTTATATATATATATATATATATTGATATTATTATAACTTCTTTTGAACGTGAAGCTATTATAGTTTTTAAAGATTTCGTTTTAATTATTTTTCAATTTTTTTTTGTTATGTTGATGAAATCCATTATCATACAGATACCTCATACGTCGCTAAGACTCTATCGTTAATTTTTGAGGGAACATTACTCGTCTGAATTCCAGTCCAACCACCACCTTTCACTATTGATCGTGGCTAAAAATTAAAAAAAAAAATTAAAAAAAAAAAAAAAAAAAAACTAAACTTCGCTTTAAAAAGCGCAGTTTAGTTTTGTTGAAGAAAATAACACAGTTTAAAATGAATTCAAGTCCAATTGAAAGATTACGCGTTGGATGTTAGTAAAAATATTAGCCTGCGTGAGATCAGCTGATCTCATAAAAATCAAATAAGTTTTCTTTCAATATAAATAAGTTTTAAAATAGAATTTAAATAAACCTCGACGTTTTGGCAAGTAAAATGCTTTATCTTTTGTGTATTTCTGATGGCACAAAACATGACTAGACGAAAATGATATTTTATTGGTAGGTTATTTTACTAGATCAGTAAAATTAAACACAGACCAAAAATGGCATTATTTACAGACTGATCCATGACATCCTATAACACAGCGTTTGTAAAAATTATTACAGCGAAAATCAGATTTCTTTTGTCAAAATTTGAGCTCGCGTTAAACTCATTAAAATCAAATCTGGTTTGTTTTGCATTTTTATTTAAATTATTATATTTGACTTAATATTTCACTTTTGATGTTTAATATTACACTTTTGTAAAGTTTTTATTCAGTTTGTTAATGTTCATTCTGATGATCATAAACAAATTGAATAACAATTCTAATGATTAAAAATCATTATTATGATCATTTATTACCATGTAATAGTAAATATTAAAAAAAATCTTTTTTTTTCTGTAAAAATAACTGATTTAAAGTTTCGTTTGCAGTATCTAAAATTAAGAAAATGTTGAAAATATAATTAACTAATGCTTACTAAGGTTTAACTACCAAAAGCAAACAGTTTCTCCGAATTCAACAATAAAATTTACAAAAAATGCGGAAAAAAATATTTTGTAAATTAGCTCAATAAAGCTCAACTAAAAAGTATCAGGTTCTAACGCTGCAACTATTGATACCACTCAAAGATATCATATCAGGTTCTAACGCTGCAACTATTGATACCACTCAAAGATATCGTATCTTTTCAGAACATTAATCGTCACATAAATCTATTTCATCCTCATTTGAGAATATTTCCTAAAATACCTTCCCAATACATCAGCTTAAAATCGGCTAGTTAAATAACTTCTACCCATTTGAAAATGAATCATAACAGACTTGCAGTCCCTTTCAGCATTGTAAACAAAGCATTAGATGTTTGAGCAGACAGGGTATACTAACTAGATTTGCAAACTTTGTTGTTTATTTACCATTTTAATGTAATTTTTAAGTTTATTTAATTTTAATGTTGCAAAACTTCAAAAAAAAATTTAACAGTTGAAATTTCATTTCCAATTTGTGTTAAAAATCATTTTGAATTAGAAATAATTAACCAAATATTAATTAGCTTTGAAACCACAAGAAAAACAGTTTCACTTGGAAATAGTGGGTAATTCCAGCAGAACTATTTTCATCAAACATATTCAAAACTAGAAAATTTCTTCAGTTTTTCCATCTGTAATCAAATCATTTAAAATCATTTAAAAACCTTTAAAAAGTGTTTTAAGATAAAGTGGAAAATCTTATAACAATAAATTGCTTGTTTTAATGTGTTTTTTGCATTAGAAAAAAATTATTTACTTCATTCGATTAAATCATCTTTTTGGTTTGCAAAGACAAAACTTATATACTTGTCAATTTTTTTTGGTTTGCAAAGACAAAATTTATATACTTGTCAATTTACTAGTGCAACTTTTTCTAAACAGTTTAAGTAAAGAATTTTTCATTTAAATGTAGTTAAAGGGATAGCCTTCATTAATGAGAAGAATATCATTTCTTTGGCAATAATATATTCAAAAGTATCATACATAACATATTCACACACAAATATATACTCTCGAATCTATAATACAAGGAGGGGGGGGGATTTTAGTCAGAATATAATAAACGGGGAGAAGGTGTCATACTTTATCACGGCTTGATCAGATATATCGGTGCTGGTCTTTTAAAAAGAATATATTATGAACACAACACAGTGCTACGAATATGTAAATAAATGTGGAAAAATAAAGTTTCATAGTATTTACTAATTATCTTGTATAATCTTGAGAATCTATATAAAATGGCGGAAAGTGGTAAAATGTGTGTTTCTCCTCCAATGTTATTTTTAGTTGTAGATAGATATGCTGCATTTTGCTTTTGGATCGAGAAATGGCATGATTATGTTTTATTGTCAGATTTAGAGAAAAAACCACTTGCATACTAAGCTGATATGTTAAGCAGAGCCTATTCTAGGAAAAATTTGTGCAGAAGTACCCCCTTGTTCCGACGAACATAAGCTGAAAATTAGCGGTTTTGCCATAAAAAACGTAAAAAAAGGTCCTCTAATTTTGATTAAATCAAATAGGGTCGACGCTGTGGAAAATGGAATGTGGAAATGAATGGTGAACTTTAATTTAGACTGTCGACGGTCTAGAATAGCCCCTGTTAAGGTAAGACGTTAATACTAGATAAAGCAGTAGAAATTTGTTATTCTTCCGAAAAAAAAACATGATGGTATATCTGAATTGCAAAATAATAATAGTGAAAATGTTGACTGGATCGGACAACAATTATACAACAGAAAAAAAGTTTAATTCACAGACACAGAACACTGGCAATGAAAGAAACTTGAGTTTAAATTCATTGGCGTGTAAATTCTGTTTAAAAAAGCATCCTTTTAGTAGAGAATCATGTCCAGCATGAGGTAAAAAATGTAGTCTGTAAAATTATGAATCATTTTTCAAATAGCACAGTTTGCCTAAAACAAAATCCAATATTTTAGATAGAGAGGCTGATCAGCAAAACAAAATGGAAAAATTTTCAACCAGCAGCATTTAGGTGCATTGTATTTAGGAAATATGAAATCTGATTTTGTGCAATTGGATTGGATTAGTTCTGTACAAGAAGGACCTTGGGAAATACAACTATAGTAAAAAATGGTATAATAAAATTCAAAACTGACACCGCTACCGTTATTAACTAACCATTTAAAAAAGTTTGGTATTAAAATCAATCTGGTATTAAATTGGCATTAAAATCAATTACATACTAGCAACAGACAATTATTAGGTTCTGATCATAAATTGCTTAGGATATTTCCAAAAATCATTTACAATCAATGGCCAGAACAGTGAGTTAATTATCATATATGTTTTGAAAGAATATGAAAATTGCTTTATTAGGTAAACCTGCTTTACAAAAGTTTAAGTTTTAGTCAGAATCCTTTCACATTTATTTGTGGTATGATTGAAATAACCAAAAATAACATGGTAGAACAGTTTCCTTAAGTATTTAATAGGATAGGAACAATTAAAGGTGACCCTGTACATATTGAGGTATGTGAAAATGTGACAATTCTATATTGGAGCACCACGGTGAGTAGCGTTCCCACTTCTAGAACCATTAAAGTTAGAACTGAAACGTATGAAAGAGATGGGTATTATCAAAGTAGTAGATCAACCTAATGACTGGTATTATTCAATTGTAGTTGTGAAAAAACCTAATAGACAACTTCGTATTTTGTATCTTTATTTAGTTGTGTTAAATTGATACAAATACGAAGTTGTTTAAGATTGCATGACTTCTTTTTTAAGTTTAAAAAAGAGGAAGTCATGCAATCAAAAAGAAATGTAAAAAACATGTGTTTATTTTGAACAATTCAATGAACACATGTATTTAGATTTAAATAAAAATAATCGATTAAATCAAAAGTTCAGATTATTTGATGGAGTAATTCTTAATTTATTAACACTATAATCTTAATTAGTTTATGTTACTTCATAATTGGTAAACTTTTGATAATGATAGTGTGCTTGAATATCTTTTATTTAGTTCACTTTTGGAAAATGTACTCACCCTGAGAGTATTAAGATTCATGAAATTGATTCATTTATTAAATTTCACTTACTGCAAAAGAAAACTATCTACAGATAAAAATAAAAACTTGAAGTAATCAGGCTTTAAAATGTCAAATTTAAACTAACTGATCAAAATGAAAACTTTCATTGTAATCAGCTCTTAAAAATTCACAAACACAAACAAGAATTCAAAAAAGTATTGAGAGTTTATATTGAAAACTGAATAATTGTATTTTTGTTATAAATTTTAAAGATGTTTGGCTGCATTTTGATCCCAAAATCCTTAGTTTTAATTTATTCAATATTTGCGTGACGAAAGCAAAACGGTGCCCTTTTTTAGTGTGCTACTTTTATTTGCTTTGTTGACAAATACTGAAAACTGTAAACTGTATCAATTAATTCCATTTGTTGACAAATATTAATATGACGTAAAATATATTTATTAATTCCGTTTGTTCAACAATATTAAATATGATGTAAACTATATCTATTAATTCTGTTTGTTCGACAATATTAAATATGACGTAAACTATATCTATTAATTTTGTTTGTTCAAAAATATTAATTATTTAGATTGCTTTCATTTTACTTTTTTCATAAATGATTTAAGTTCTGATTTCATTACTATTTAAATAAAAACCTTTAATATATATTTTACCAATAATAATATAATAATATGCAATAATTGTTGTATTTAGAACATTTTTTCTTTTAACTGTACTTTTTCTTACATTCTTGTAAGTTTTTGCCACAAATTGCAATAAATGAATTCAGCGCTGGATTAACATAATCAGGGGCCCTAAGCACATAACCAAGTATGGTGCCTGTACTTAGCCAACCAATAGCAGGCAAGTGCAAGTTGCTGTGCAACATTAATATTTATTACAATATTATATACACATACTATAATCTATAAATCACACTGTCACATATCATGTAACTATGATGATGTAAATTGTAAATAACATGTATAAGTATGATGTAAACAGTTACAAAACTACTACACTACTAGTAACTGTTATAATTTTTATAAATCAGACATTTCAATTCCTAGACTTTGAAAATGCAAAATTGTTGTCAAAGTCAACTAAAGTAAGCATATCTACCTCGATGCAGAGTAGAGACAGAAAGTCTAATCTCTCCTTCTTCATTGTTGTTCTACATGGGTTTTTGATTCTCTTAAGCTGTGAAAAGGATTGCTCAGCAGAAACATTTGTTAGCATGAAGGTAAGGAAAATGTGAAATGCAATATCCAGGTTTGGAAAAATACGGAAGTTTATCTTGAACAATAACATCATACAGTTCAGCATGAGTGAAATCACTTTTGTTCCCCTGAAACTTTGAGCTGAGATACTTATGAAACTGCTGCAGTTCTCCAACGATGTCCATGCTGAGATCTTCATGGTAAAAACTGACTAAAGTATGACAGCCTTTGAAATACTCTTCTTCACTGTAGGTTATTGATGAATGAAAACTGTGCTGACACACCTTTGTAAACTTTACTTCTTCTTTCCATTTTAGTTATCAGTTTGTCAATTATGCTGTATAATGTAAACACTCTAAATGTATCCCTGGCATTTATGTCTTTATTCCAATTGCAAGAAGGTGTTACACAAAAATATTTTTAAAAAAATAGCCAATCCTTTCTTTTTTGATGAATCAGTTGAGATTTAAATTGAAATTTATAGCATTGTGGACAATGTCCAATTAAAATAATAATTGATTTGAAAATGTCTGTGTCAATAAATATAAAAAATGAAGATAATTCATTTGAATTATTAATTTGTACATTACTATTTATACTGAATTGTTTACTTTTTTTTGAAGATATTGACATCAATTTTGTGTTAGTAAAACTAGTGATTTCCAATTGAGAAGTCAAACTATTTGTATTGCATACTGATGATACTAAATAAAACTGATTTTCTCTAAAATATATATATTTAAATATCCTGCTACCACCTGATTTCCTTCTCAGACTTGAATCATATTTTCTTTTTCTCATAATAAAAAATGCACTGATAAACAAGGCTAGCAAATAAATTAAACACAAGGATTATAGTTTTTCTATAAGTTATTAACCTAAATATAATAATTGTTCCTAGAAATCATGGCTTATTCAGTTTAACAAACATGTAACAGTTACTGGCAGAAACAGCTATCAAAAGCTGATTCCAGTGTATATGGCAAAAAACTCTAAAACACCCAAGGCCGTTCATGCAGTTGCAGTAATTTAGTAATTGCAAAAAATTTGAAGTAGTTTTTTGTGGTAAGCCTTTCCATTCAATAGTTAATCCGATACTGAATAAATGAATAAGGTATCGTACCACAAAGTCAATCCGAGCGTACGTACTTTATGTACGTAATCAAAAAGTACGCACGCTCAGAGGGGAAGAGGGGTCTGCAGATGGCGTATATGAGATTGGAGGGCAGTCAGTCAACTATAAAAGAAAGGAGACACTAAATTAAAAAAATGTCATAAAATGTTAGATTAATAGGTTAAAAGCCTAAGTACTTTTAGGGAGATTAGGGTACTCAAAAAAGCGTATTGCAAAATGGGAGGGAGGGGGGAGTTGACGAAAAAAAATGTGTACGTACTTTATGGACAACCCCTAACTTATAGATAAGATTAAAATTACATGTTTGCGTTTTTTTTTCCTTAATAGGGTTCTTTAAAATTATATACATTAACTAAAAATCTTATTTTATGTAATATTTGTAACTTTTATAGTAGTGTTTTATAAAACGATCGTTTTCTTAATATTTAGCAGCCAATTTAAATGGCTGCACAAGAAAGTTAAAGCATTGTTAACTAATTAACATAGGCATAAGTTTTTAATATGATTTTAATGAGCAAGGATGTAAATTGTACAATAATTTTTTATTAACGTCATTAACTTTAACGATTAAAATTCTTATTTTGTTATTATTTGTAATTGTGGTCTGTAACTAAAAACATTTTCTCTTACAACTTTACTTTTTTTTTTTTTTAATTCAATCTTTTTATTCGTTTTTCTTGTAGCTTTTGCAATGAATAAACTTATTTTTGATAACGAATAAATACATTTTTAAATAAGTTTAAGATAAATTTTTTTTTTTCTTTTTAATTAAGGAATTAGATGAAACATATATTTAAAAAGGAATTAGATGAAACATATATTTAAAAAGGAATTAGATAAAACATATATTTAAAATTTTTTAGTGAAAACTTTGTTTAATGTAACTTTTTTTTTTTAGATAAAAAGTAATTTAATATTTATCTATAAATTTTTATCTATGAATTTTTAACTATAAATTTCACAAAACTATTTCTTTTAGTACTAAGTATTCAGTTTAAAACTTTTAAATATTTAAAAAAAATTGTTTGAATATTTAAAAAAAATTAAATTACTTAGATGGTATGAAACTTCCTTTTTTAATTGAATAGAAATCTGTTGGTGCGGGACTTATTTTAAACTAATAACATTAGCTGGTAATTTAAATGTTATTTGTATTTCTATTTAAAAAATGCATTGACTTTGTTTAAAATTATTGTATTAAAAAGAATACAAATTGTTTAATTTTTAAGCGTTATTTTTGTATGTATGTATGTATATATATATATGAATATATATATATATATATATATATATATATATATATATATATATATATATATATATATATATATATATATATATATATATATATATATATATGTATATATATATATATATATATATATATATATATATATAGCCCTTGGAATTAGCGTCGGCAATGCCAACCTAAAAGTGTTTGAGGTCAGCAAAAAACTGACAACCTCATTTCTATGTTTTATGGTAAGATTTTCTTATAAAACTTTTTTTGCCAACCTGATGCTGATGATGGATATATATATATATATATATATATATATATATATATACACATACATACATACATACATACATACATACATACATACATACATACATACATACAGGGCACAAAATAAATAACTTTTTTCAATATTTGTCCGATAAAGACTTAAGTTTGCTGAATATGTCCAATAAAAATGAAAGAAGTGCGATCGAACGCCATTCCTGACCACGCTTAAAATATTTTGTTTTTACTACTTGACAACGCAATTTGTTTTGATAACTATAGGTGTTTCAAAATGTGCCAAAAATAAACTAAAATTTGTAAGATAAATTATCTAACAAAAAAAAATCTTAAAAAAAAAAAAAAATCTAAGCTCAAAAAACAAAAATTGGAAAAAGAAAATACATTTATATTACGCTTTTTAAAAATTACTATGCTATGCTATGCGAAATGCTTTGTAAATTATTAAATACATAAATTATTTGTAAGTATATTAAATACACAAATTATGTATTTACAAAATACATAATTAAATATGTAATAAAAATGTATAATAAAAATAAAAATTTATTAAATACATAAATTACTATATAAATATATTAAGTACATAAATTATTAAGTTTACTTACTACTTTATTAAATAAAATAACAAATTAGTTATGTTTACAATAAACCCATTTTGTTTAAATTATTAAAGAATAATATACGTAATTACATTTATACAAATATGTATTTTTTTATAAATCTTTTTAAACTTTTTTTAGGATTAGTTTTATAAACACTTTTAATAGCAAAAGTTTTTAGTATGAAAATAAATAGTAAAAACTCAGATTTAATAGTGTAATAAAAAGTTTTTTATAAGAATTAAAATAACTATTACAATTAAATTTTTATAACATAAATTTATAAGGGGTTTTAAAAAGCTAAAATATTTGTTTGAAATTTATAAAAACCATTAGAAAAAATAAATAAAAATAAATACTAAACCATAAATTTAAATTAATAACTAACTGCAACATTTTAATATAAATGATAAAAACCGGGCTAATAATTCAAAAAAAATGTAATGCTTTGGCATCTTTTTAAAAAATGAATTAACTCAAAAAAATGACCTATTTTATTAACTTAGTATTCAACTTTTATTTTATTTTGTATAAAAAATAAAAAAAATAAAGTTTATATACAATACAGAATTAATTAAAAATTTTGGAACAACTAAAAAACAAATGCACATAAAATATATGTTGGATAAACAATCGATGCATGTCATTTTTTGCCGGACAAGTGCCAGACAATTTCCGATGTCCGGCACTTATTTTGAGCCCTTTACACATACATATATAAATATGGCATTAGATGCACACTGATGATGTTAAACTAAAAGAGGTAGCTTCCGGGGCTTTAGTACACACATTGACTATCTATTAGCCTGCTGCCCGTAGAAGTGCTGCTACATCAACTGAGGGTTTCTTTTTTTTCATTATTATTAGTTTTTATTCTTCTTTTTAAAAAAAATCCAAGCACAATAAGAGAGCTCAAAGCATATTAGGAAATTGTGTCATTATTATAAATAATATTATTACAACATACAACATAAATAATGAATTTTAAATTAAAAAAGAGTTTTTACCATAGGTTCCAATACAGGTTCCAATTCAATTTGAATATGCTGTGTATGTAATGGTTCATTTTTAGGCAACTGATTGTTAGGTAACTGGATAGGCTGAGTTGTCAGTTGCTTTTTAGGTTTTCTCCTTTTTGGTGCTTTATAACCTCTGTATCTAAAGAAAGTTCAACAAATTTAACAAAGATTCTAAATTTAAAAAAAAAAAAAAAGAAAAAAAAAAAAATTTAATATGTATCAAGTAAAATATTATAAAGAAAATGACCTTACTTAGGGGGTAGAGGGCCAAACAGTACAAGACAACAATTTACCCAACATCCTAGATCAAAAGGATTATGACCACTGCCAAACTTTCCAGTGACCTAGTTATAATAAATATAAGTAAATTATTAAACTTATTATTACTTAGAAATAAATATATATAAATATCTTTTTAAATGTTAAACAATTGAATTTTTTTTATTGATATTTAGAAAGAAAAACAGTGACTTTTATTTGCTGATAGAGAAGTAACACAACAGAAACCAATTAAAACAAATTGTTTTAGAGCTCTGAACAAGCATGTTACAGAAATTGCTTTCAAGTTTGTTCTTACTTCCAATTTACAAAGTGATCTTTTAAAGCTAGGTTTTAGTAAGTATATTTAAATGACCAGTGGTAGCCTTTTAGAAATATGCATTAGTAAAAAAATTTCGGCAGATTTTCCCAGAAAATAGTTTTAAAAAATAATATTTTTTACAAATATTTTTGGCAAAGAAAATATTTATCAAAATTTTGATAATCCCTAAAAAATATTATGCAAGATATTGCTTAGTTATCTACATGAATACTAGGGTTGAGCTTTTACCCAAAATTTACCATTAAATCGGTATAATTGTGTTGGTAAATTTTGGTACATGATTTTTAATATACTATACTATAAATAAAACAATTCATTTGAAATCCTTAATTAAGAAATTAATTTTTTTTTGTTACCTTTGTGAATAACATTTTGTTATAAAAAGAAGTTATGACTTTCAGCCGCATTTAATAGAGTATTAATTTTCATATTGTTTCAAACTTTGTTATGATTTCATCACCCTCAGAAACCCACATATCATTAATGTTATGTATACTGTTTTCCTTTGTTATAGAGACAAACAAATATCCTCCACCTTGTTTATTTGTTTGTCTCTATAACAAAAATCTAAAAAACGAAGACAGTAATCAGAATTATTACGCTTAAAAATGCTTTTAAATATTTTAAAAGGTTTGAAATCGCTTAATTGATAAATTAAAACTTTAATAATCACTTTCCTATCAACTAAGCTGTTTATTTTGTTTGGAAGCAGAATAAACAAAATAAACTGTTTGTCAAGTTTTGTCTGAATATTTTAAGAAAGATAATACTTCTTTCTTGGGAAATATTTATTTTTACATTTATCAACCAATTTGATTTGCTTTCGGCCAAAATGACAGACGTTTGGAAACACTACACCTTAAACAAAGGAAAAACAGTGACTTGCAAAATACGTGGAAATACCAGTAAATACTCAAGTTCCATAACTGAAATGTGGTATCATCTAGACAAAAAACATGGAATCAAAAAAGAAACACAGGAAAAGTTGTTAACAAAAGTTGTAACAGAATCAAAAAAGCCTAAGATTTCAACTTTTTCCCAAAGCAACCAATTGAATAAGTGATTTCAAAACTTACAGCACTGGATGGAATTAGTTTCTACGCCATTGTTAACAGCTCTTTCATTCAATCTGCCATGTGTGAAATAGGTTATAATTTTCCAAAAAATCACAAACAAGCAATCCAGTCAGTTAAAAAATTGGCAGCTGGCATGAGAAATGGCCTTCAAAACACTATTAAATCTTTAGTAACCATTGGAAAACGCTTTTCAATTATACTTCTTTGAAAAATCGAAGATACATGAATATTAATATTCATCACACAAATACTGGAATCTGGGCTTGACTCGAATTTCTGGATCAACAACAGAAAAAGCTGCAGCCGTTGTCACAGAAAAAGTGGCCAAATTTAAGCTGAACATTAGCTACAGCATTGTCTGCTCAGTTACGAATGGAGCTTCCATGATGCTTAAGTTTGGAAAACTGGTTTCAACTAAGCATCAAATGTGTTACACCCATGGAATTCATTTGCAATTCAAGAAGCACTGTAAGAGAAGCCTTTCCGAAAAATGGATAGCAACACATTGCATGTGACAACCGACGAAGATGAAGCCAACAGTGATGAATCCGAATCTGACACCAAAGTCAGTTTTCTTGATGCTGCCATGGATGAAAACATTCCCATGACATAAGTGAAAATGCACTTGCCATCTGTCATCATAAAAGTCCAAAAAATTGTTATTTCAAAAATCTCCAGTCAAAAATGACGTCTTCCAAGAAGAATTCAAGAAACAGCGCGGAAAAGAGATTATACTTATCCTTGACTGCAGAACAAGATGGAACAGTCTACTGTCAATGATTCAACAGTTTCTCAAAGTTATAGATTCACTCAGAAAAATATTGAAAGACGTTTCCCCACATTTGATTTGCAGTGATGATGAAGTAAACATTTATATGACATTGTTGCTGCTTTTAAACCAGTCAGATTGGCAGCAGAAGCCCTTTGCCAACAGGATGCAACTCTTTTTACTGCTGATGGAATTTTCAAGTTTCTTGTGAACAGACTGAAACAATGAGATTCAACTCTTTGCATTGCAATGAGTATTTGAGATGTTTTAAAGAGCAATCTTGTGCAGATACCTTTCTAATTCAGAATGTTTAACCAACATTGAAGAACATGGAGTTTTCAAAATGCCTTTGAAGTCTGTACTATAAAAGACTGCCAAAGATTTGTTGTCTAGAATATTCCCAACGAATCCAGATGACTTAAAATTCATTCAAGAAGTATGTGGCTCAGAAAATCTTGATGAAAATCCACTTTCACTTAAAGATGAACGCGAGGAAGCAATATAGCAAAAAACAGCACCACTGATGTAAAGTTTGCTGCTCTTCCATTGTTATCCATTTGTTTTTGTAGCTGGTTTCAACTATATTCGATAGTTTCAACTTTTTGGACAAATAAATGGACAATAGTTCTCCAAAATATTTTTAAACTGCGCGAACCTTCATTTTTTATATGGTTTAAATAACTAAGTATACATCTACTGTTGAAATTAAATGGTTTTTTCCAAAGCTCTCCAACTGCAACAACTTAATTAGAAAGTTAATACTAATCATATTCCATCATCAACCAAACACATAATACTTTTCTCTTTTTTGAAGTCCTGAGGCTAACTCTTGCCAAAATACTTTAGCAAGAATGATACAATCATTCAACCTCTTTGAGGTATACTTATTAACTGGTTCTAGAAGCAGAAAGTTTCAAAATTTGATCACCCAGTTTGTTTTTTATAAAGGTAGCGGTGTTCCTTTATACTAACTGTTTATCTTTAGAATTGTTAAAACTTGAGAATTTAACTGAACTTCTACTGACTGGCACTTTAAAAAAAGATTTATTGCTTGAATAACGATTAAAAAATAAATAAAAAAAAGGAAATTAAGATACTTTGAAGTAATATGTCTTTTTGATTACTTAAAACGTTTTGTTTTGAAAGAGACTTTAAATAAAACTTTTTTTTTGAAGCAATCTGTTGTTTTACTTATTTAAAACGTTTTTTTAGAAAAAGACTTCAGATTAAACTTTTTTTTTCTAAAACGCAACGATTAAAAATTAAATTTATCCAATCAAAATTTGAATAGCATAAATTTGAAAGAAAAGTTGCATAACTTTATACGCAAAGAAACTTTTGCAAAGACTTTTATTTTTTATATCATTTAAATTTTTAAAATAGAAGTAGAAGGTCAACCATAAAAAAATAGCAAAAACTGAATTGTTTTTTAAACTTTTCTCAAAAAATTAATTAAGAATAACTGGTTAAACAAGAAATATAGAATTATAGACCCCCCCCCCTACCAATATTTACTGCTAAATTATGCCTTTACAGATTTAACAGTAAATTTAAAAGGTAAAAACTCAACCCTAGTGTCAAAGCTAGTGTCAGCTTTCTAACTCAACCCTAGTGTCAAAGCTAGTGTCAGCTTTTTAACTCAACCCTAATAAAAGTTAGTATCAGCTTTCTAACTCAACCCTAATAAAAGTTAGTCTCAGCTTTCTAAACATAACATAGATATAAATATACTAAACCAGTAATATAGATTAAAAACTAACATAAAGATTTTGATGTAAAACTTATTATCAATAAATGTTATTCTATATATCTAATTCAACCTGTCTAATTTTATTTGTCATCTTTTATCCTGTATATCTAATTCAACCTGTCTAATTTTATTTGTCATCTTTTATCCTGTCTAATTAAATTTTATAACCTGTCTAATTTTATTTTTCATCAAGTATTCTATATATTAATTCTCCTATTCTAATCAAAGATTGCGATCATTTTTTCAATAAAAAATTTCCAGAACAAATTTGAAAGATTTGTTATAGCAGTGTCGATTTTACTAGTGAAAAACACCAAAAGTGGTGAATCAAATATAGATCTCGTATTATTATTAATATTTTTTATAATAACTTGCAAAAAGAAACAACATATTCATTAAGGAAAGATCAAGTGAAATAATTCAAAAAAAGACAAAGACCAAATAAATATTGCAAGTAAAAAAGGTAGTTTTTCTTTTAATTTCAATTATAATAAACACAAAATTACAAACCTTTGATTTTCAGTAGTTTATTTTCAGTAGCAGGATTGCACTATATAACATCGAGTCACAACAATTGTTTAAATTTAGTTCATGAATTTGCATATGTATCATTAAGTCACAGCAATCGTGTATGTATAATCAAGTCACAGCAATTCAATTCATGAATGATCTCACACAAAAGTAGCAAATTTGTCGATTTCATGTTATTTTTATGAAAATGTTGGTTTCCCTTCACTGTATTATAAAGATTGCAAATATTTGTATAATATAGTTTCCTGTTGGTAGTTATATAGAACCAAATGATTAAATAAATTTGTTTAACATTTATGGTGGGTCAAAAATTATGTGTACTTTTGCTTGAATTGTGACAGACAATATATGAAGATATATTCAAGCAGCCCTAGTAACTTCTAGTAAATTAACATTTGTTGAACTTTGGTCACACACAATTGCTCAAACACCTAGCCCAATTGATTTTAAGTTGACTTTCAATGACTTCTAATATTGTTTTTAATAACTGTAATGTGTGAACACAGCTGTTGTTATAAAAACATGCAACTGTCACTTTGTTGCAAGTGAAAGATTTAATGGTTTTCCATTTTCTTCAATAACAATAATGTGATCAAGACTTTTTTGTATAAGCTGTACAAATGTAATATCTTATCATTAATTGTGATCACAGACATTCATTTTAAGACAAGATTACAACCAACAGAAGTTTCTATTAAATTGTGAAATTGTGCTTTTAAGATAAGATTCTAATCAACAGAATTTTCTAATAGATTGTGAAATTGTGCAAACGAGTTATTACTGATCTGTTGCATAAAAATTGTTGATTTATAAAAATTATAATTTCAAGTAAAAAATTTCCTTAAATATCTACAGAATATCTGTGGACTATCTTATATGATGCAGCTGATTATCGAAAATTGACTTTAGTCAAATTTTGTTTTCTGGAGTTTCTAGAGTTAAGAGAGAGAGGGGCATAACAACAATTGAGAGAGAGGCATAACAACAATTGAGAGAGAGGCATAACAACAATTGAGAGAGAGGCATAACAACAATTGAGAGAGCGGCATAATAACAATTGAGAGAGCGGCATAATAACAATTGAGAGAGAGGCATAACAACAATTGAGAGAGAGGCATAACAACAATTGAGAGAGAGGCATAACAACAGAGAGAGCGGCATAATAACAATTGAGAGAGCGGCATAACAACAATTGAGAGAGAGGCATAACAACAATTGAGAGAGAGGCATAACAACAGAGAGAGCGGCATAATAACAATTGAGAGAGCGGCATAACAACAATTGAGAGAGGCATAACAACAATTGAGAGAGGCATAACAACAATTGAGAGAGCGGCATAACAACAATTGAGAGAGCGGCATAACAACAGAGAGAGCGGCATAATAACAATTGAGAGAGCGGCATAATAACAATTGAGAGAGCGGCATAATAACAATTGAGAAAGAGGCATAACAACAATTGAGAGAGAGGCATAACAACAATTGAGAATAACAATTCCTTTTTAAATATTACCACCACTGGTCAATTGTTCTTTGGTAAAGTGAATTTATTAAAAATAATAATAACAAAAATAATTCAATAATATTATAATAAGGAACTTAATGCTAATGCAGTTACTCATGAGTGCTTTGACACAGAGCTTTAAACAGAGTTTTTTCAAACTTATCCTTACATTGTTTCCTATTATATATTTTATCTTATATATATATTTTGAGGCATGTAGTAAGGTATTCTCTACTTTTTATTAATCTGTATATCAGATATATACACCAAATCAGTTTAAAAAATTAAACTTGTTTATGATATGATAATTTAATGCAATCATATAATCAGTTTATCTAATTTGTTAACGTTGAACCTTATTTTATTTTTCAATTTTTTTTTTTTTAAAAACTATAATAAAGAATGAGGATGTCTGGTAATAAATTATTTCAACGTTTCAAATTATTTCAATAATTTAAACTACCATTAAATTTCAAATTAAGTCTCAATAAGTATTAACAGTATTAGTTATGACATTCTTTTGAGTTACATTTCATTTTCTAACAATTTGTTAAATTGTCAGTTAAATTTTATGGAACCAATGTACAAGTATTGTGCAAGCCCTAATAGTATTAAGAGTATTAGTAAAAATGTTGCATTTCAAATATTGTTTATTTCAGGCTGTCAATTTTGTTTTTGATTGACTTATTTAGTTTAATATTATTATTTAGATAATAAAAGTTGGTTAGTTTATATTTTATATTGTTTGTTAATATTTAAAGAATTGTTAATTTAAAACATTAAGAACTGGATAACAAAGTTTTTTATTTTGTTTTGTTTATTTGTATTAAATATTCTTTTTTTGATTCCTATAGTTTTAGCTTTATTATCTTATGACGGTTGGATTATATCCTATGTTTTGCTGAAAATATTATGCATTAAAAATGTCTTGATTCTTCCATGGCGTTCTATAAATTATTACTTATAATAATTTAAATAAACTCTATTACTTTATCTACTGTTAAAATACGGTTTTAATTTAGTAAATGATGAATTGAAATTTATTTTACTTAACAGTATTAAAAAAAACTAGATTTATTCCAATTAATGAAGAATAACTTTATTTTCTGGTCACATTAAAAATGTAATGTGACCAGAAAATAACTTTTCTGGTCACATTACATTTTCTTTGTCTTTGCAATTAGTGTCTTTTGTTTCAGATTATGACTATTTTTAACACTGCTCTGTAACATTCTCTAATAACAATTGTGTTATTCTATTTAAATGAAAACTTGCAAAACCTTGCCAGTTCATAAATTACTTTAAATGTTTTATTTACTAAAAGTACGGCTTAGGGTTATTATTTATTACTATAAAAACCTACTTAATTTTTTTACAAACCTTTTGACACCACGGTCATTATACAGTATTATACAGGTTAGGACAGCTAGTAATAACAACAACAACAAAAAATTATCTTCAAAAGTTTTAAATAAAAACCTGTTCATTAGTTGTTCTGCCCAAGCTCACTAATCCAATATGAAATCCTGTAAGACCCATTACTGGAAAAGCTGCTAAGGAGCCTATAACTAAAATAATAATACTGTTCAAGTTAAGAAAAATGGCTTGTTAATAAAAATTTGAAATGTTAAATTATATCCATGAACCAGCCTACAAAACTAGGACAAAAGTCAGCAAATAATTGCCAACTTTACAGTTTTGATCAGCATCAGGTTGGCATAAAATATTTAATGCCAACCTGAAGAGTTTTAGTACATGACGCCATGGACTTTTTTGTTTGTTTACATAGACCATCTCTTACGCAAACAAAAAAAATCTATGAGGTCATGTACTGAAACTCATAGGAATAAAACATAATTGAATAAGTTATCAAGTCTGTAGATTGTGGCGTATATTATGCTGACTTTTAGGCCTACAATAAAAAAATTCAGCCCAAACAGTTTTTTTTATCATTCTTTTTAATACGAACACAACATGTCTTGGAGGTTTTGTGATCCCTTTAAGAACATTGAGCACTATTTGTAGAATAAACTATATCATTATTTATATATATATATATATATATATATATATATACATATATATATATATATATATATATATATATATATATATATATATATATATATATATATATATATATATATATATATATATATATATGCAGCCCTCAAAATTGATGTCAACATTTGCAATAAAAATTATTACTAATTCCGAGGGTTGTATATATATATATATATATATATATATATATATATATATATATATATATATATATATATATATATATATATATATATATATATATATATATATATATATAGGGTAAAATACCCAGTGTTCGCCATGCGACCTAGTCTTAGCTTTATAAATAAAGGTACAGAATCTATTGCAAAAAAAACTTTGCCTAAAAAATCTTTATGCTTTATGACAAATTTTAGATAAGTTTTAGGACAATCACTCAAAAACATATTATTTATAATTTTTTTGCATTTTTTTTTCCTCTGACTGTTATTAGGATGCAGAAATATATTATAAGCAAAAAATTAGTGGATGAATTTAAAAAGGTTTGCATGGGGTGGTGGTGGCGAACACTGGAAGCAAAATAACCCCTACTCTGTGTAGTTAAGGCAATTTGAAAATTATTCAAATACTTTTATTTGGAATTAGCATGATTTTATCAGGGTATTATGTCCAAACAAAAGCTTTAAATGGTATAACTTTTTTTGCTTAAAATTTTTTTAATATTCAAAGAAACTTTTCTTTTTTTATATATAATTTTCAAAACCTTTTTACTACCTGTAATAGTGAATCTAAAGAACACTATTTTGGAGTCTTTAGATTACTTTCGCTTATCGGCAATAACATAAATTTAGTTAAAATCTTTTGAAAAAGTTCCTTAATTTACTACTGATCCCAGTTTTAATCTGTTCTGACATATATTAACTATATATAGTTGTCAAAACACAATATTTCTATCAATTTTTACAAAAAATACTAGAATTCCGATCAAGAATAAGCTTATAATTATGGAAATTTGCCATTAAACGATCAGAACAGATCATATTGTTAAACTACAATGTTTATTTCACCTAAAAAACATTAATTAAAAATCTTACTCAAATTTGGACAAGCTATTGTGATTTTAAGATAATCTTTTTTTAAAAAAAGAATCTTTGGTCTGGATTTTTTTTGCTACAAACATCTATAATTTTTAATACCGCAAAATTTATAATTTTAATAATTTTCGTCATTTTATAATTCACAGACCTGACCATTTAACAGAAATATCTCATAGTCAACAAAATATCTCATAGTCAACAAAATATCCTACAGACGCTATAATATTTTAAAAGTGCCTCAACTACACTGAGTAGCTAATAATTGCCACCATAAAAAAAATTCAAAAAAATTGAATTTTTTTTTTTATTGTAAAATATGAACACTTACACACTTGTCAGTACGGGTATTGTTAATTTTATTACCATGTAATAAGCAGTTAAACATTTTAAGTCTTCGCAAAACTCACTTTCTAGTAGTCGCTATTATTGATACTTTATAGTTTTAACTGTTTATAAACCTTTTTTTCTTTTTCAGAACATATATGAATAATAATTGTATTTTAATTTAAATACTTTTTCTAGTTATACCATTAAATATGACATAAATTTTTAGCTTATAGAAACAGATATTAGGTTTTCTACCCAGGAATTTATTTTTTCACCTTTTTTTTGTATACTGTGAATCTATTAAAGTAAATACTAAAATATTCCATGATGTCAAGTTTAGGGTAATTGGTTTTTAATCAACAATTATTGTAAATGTATTTATATGGTTTAATGTGTAATTGACAATGTGTTTATACAATTTATAATAATAATTTTTGGGGATTGTAAATTAGTAGATACCGGGTCAAACTGTTTTACTATATAAATAATTAATAGAATTTGTAACGAGATAGGCTTGTATGCTGTAAATCTATTAAGGATTTTATTTGTTATAAATTATCAATAGAATTTGTTACAAGATAGGCTCTCATAAAGTACTTAAACATGAAGCATGCTTAAAGGTTGCAGAGGGTCATAAAACAAAATGCAACTCCAATGTTAAAAAAGAAACGTTGGCTAATCTTTTTCTAACGATGTATTCAAAATCGATGACTGAGATGAAGAATAAAAGTGCTTTTAAGAAATGTGGATTACAGCCATTTAATCCTATTGATCGCACAAAGTTAACCTTACAAGAAGAATATGCTGGGGATGAGCGCCTTTTTGAGGGTGTCAATCAAGGTGGCTTTGTTGAAATTTCAACCCAATTAGAACCATTATTATATTTGAATGTAAGTACTCAGATTAAGCCAAGTGAAAAACTTTTTCAAATAGATTTCACTGAAGCACAGGCAGCTGAGTCATACATAAACCTGTAAGTGATAAATAATTTTTATAAACACAATATAGAGATTGGGACAGATTATATACTTAGCTAAATTTTAAACAAGCTTCTACAATTATATGTTCTTTAACTAATTGGTGTAACATTTTGTAACAGCCAAAGCTTCTGCTAAAACTATTATTTAAAATATTTATACATAACTTTAAAAAGTTGTGATAACTATGCATTGGATTGTCCCAGATTTTGATGTTTAAAACAAGCAAAGAAACTGGTTTGAACAAAACAGGCGATTGGAGACATAAACCAGCACATCTACAAATCCAAGTTCTCCTAAGACCCAACCCTCTACTAGTGGGATTAATTACCATTATTCTTCTTCTGATAACTCAACAACAAAAATGATATCTCCTTTGCCTGAGTTAGCTTTCAAACAAGAGGTCCAGTATTAGTCCTGTCATGATAAATCATAGGTGGTTTCCTTTGCCCCAAAAAGCTCTAGGCTAGTCATGGACATTTTTTAATTTTATTTTAATATTGCTATGATATTTTGAACCTAGTGATATGTATGGTCATAAAAATATATTTTCTTTATTGTACAATTATAAACAATTCTTAGCTAAAGTTTGCACTGTTGAGTAAGAGCTTCAATCAGCATCTGTTGTGATGTCAGATCAAGTTGTATCTATTCTGGCTGAAGTAAAAGAGTAAAAGAAAGACTAAGGGCAAGCAAAAGTTGAAAGAATGAATTAACACTTGGCAACTGAGTTGGCAAAGAAGTCATAATCCCCAGTAAAAAAAAAAAGTTGTGTATACTAAACCAATGCAAACAAAAGAAGAAAGACTAAAATAGCAACTTATTCAGGTAAGAACAATTTTAAAGTGACTACTCTATGGTCCAGCTACTGTTTTATTAAATTAATAAAAAATAGATAAAAATTTCCACATTTTATTTATTAATTTCATTCTCTCTCTTATTTTAGATTCCATGCAATGATGACAGAAAATTCCTAGTTTAATTTGTAACTAAAGTGAAAAAAATGTATATAAAACTTTTTTTACAAAAATAATACTTCAACAATAATTTAGACTTAAAAATAAGTCTTTATCAAAAAGAAAATGACATTAAAAAAAAAAAAAAATTAATTGTGGCGAACACTAGCAAAAGTAAAAAGCTGGTATAAACTTAATTTCAAAAAGGGTTTTTATAAAAAGAATAAAGAAAAACAACAAAGTTTTTTACTATAATAAAAGTTCTTCATATCTAAATAATACCAGCCCTATAATAACCTAAACCCCCATGTGTTGCAATACATAAATAAATATGCATATTTTTAAGTTAAAGGATGAAAAGATACGGAATAATATTTTCTTTTAAGTTCTTACCACGATTTTGATAAAAAAATAATCCAGTTAACACAATTACACTGACAATGTGCAATGTAAGCAGAAAAACAAAAAAAAAGAAGTAGCGATAGTTGTTCTTCCCAATGCAATTGTCAACCCAAGGACAATGATGGTCAAATACCTATTAATGCAAAGCACAATTAAGAAAATTTAATTTAAAATAAAAACAAATTAAAAAAAGAGTAAAAATACCTCAACACAGTTGTTGCAAACACTACAATGTGAGCATCGTGGTGGCCTATAAAAACGACAGGTCTCACACCATTTCATCTTTACTGTTATTCCTTTGATTTCAGTGTTTCTATATAATGGTTGACGTAGGTCATTTTCATCATCTTCACTTTCAGGTGCTAAATGAAGCTCAACTTTATAACTGTGACAATGAAAAGCAGACTTATTCCTTTTTAAATGTAATAATATATCAGGTTTGGCAAAAAAAAAAAAAAAAAAAAAAAAAAAAAAAAAAAAAAAAAAAAAAAAGACTCTTTAAAAAAATGTATTTGAAGTGTTTCTCTTTTTTATATATCATATATATATATATATATATATATATATATATATATATATATATATATATATATATATATATATATATATATATATATATATATATATATATATATATATATATATATATATATATATATACTCTTGCATGTCTCTTGCGTGGCATCAAAAAATATTTCCCATAAACTGTAGTTTTAAAGAGCGCGTTAATAAACCAGACCAGAAAAAGTTTTAAAAATTAAATTTTTTTTTTTTAATTGATAGACTGCCTGGCCAAACCAAACCCTCAGTCGATGTAGCAGCACTCTCTTGCGAGTCAGGCTATTTGTCAGTCGTTGTAGCAGCACTCCCCTTGCGAGTCAGGCTATTTGTCAGTCGATGTAGCAGCATTCTCTTGCGAGTCAGGCTATTTGTCAGTCGATGTAGCAGCACTCCGTTGCGAGTTAGGCTATTTGTCAGTCGATGTAGCAGCACTCCGTTGCGAGTCAGGCTATTTGTCAGTCGATGTAGCAGCACTCTGTTGCGAATCAGGCTATAAGATAGTCGATGTAGCAACATTTACGCATGTTTAAAAAATGTTTTTTATTAAATCAATAACAAAAACACCACTAATTAAAAAAAACTTTCTAGTCGTTATAATTGCGGTTTTTTAAAAATTTTTTAAAAAACAATTAAATTTAATGTACTTCCGCATAAATTAATTGCTTTGACATTTCGATGACAATCAAAAACAGCTTAAGAGACGAGGTAATTAAAATTGTAGTCGTAAGAGACTTTTATTACATTAAAACGCTCTTTCGACTACACTATAAGGGTATATATATATATATATATATATATATATATATATATATAGATATATATATATATATATATATATATATATATATATATATATTATATATATATATATAATTTTCTTTCATTACATCATATATATAATATAAACAAATTGCTATTGTGTTTATGTTTAAACTTTTTTATTGCATAAAATTATGTTGGTAACATTAATCTTTAATTTGCATTTTGTTTATCGTAATAAAAAAACAGAAAATAAACATGGTATTTTGTTTAACTACTTTTTTTTATTTTCTATTTAACTTTACTTTAAGTTTGTTGTTATTTTATGCAATTTAAAGTAGAAAACATTGAAAATAGGTTTATGATTAATAACATTTTGAATCTAGGAGGTAGTTCTCAGTAGTCAAGGCAAAGAACAGGCAAGATATGAACAAATCTAAAAACTTAATAATTAGTGCCAATCAAATCAATCCTCTTTAAAATAAATAAAACCTACTTAGATAAAATTTAAAAAAATGTTTATAAAATAAAGAATACCCTTTAATGATCTCTTCAAGAATTTTTTGATTTAAAAAAGATCATCAAATGCTTTTGCATTCAAACCTATGGATGAAATTGAGGGGAAAAAATTTTAGCATGCAGCTTTAGAAGCTACATTCAAACTGCTTTGTAACTTTCCTTAAAAATGGAAGTGCATTATTACTATTAATTTATTATTTATTCAAACTTCCAACAATTCAAACTGTAATTTTGTAAATCATAATTATCTATGGAAATAATTAAGTATAAGATTAAACAACTTGTTTTTAGAAATTTTTTAAAATAAAATAGTAACTTCTGGGTTATGATTTTACATTTTTTTTTGTTTTGTGGTGGCGACAAAAAAAAAAAAAAAAAAGCTGTGCAGAGAAAAACCAAGAGTTTAGAACTTTAACACTAAAAAGTGTTAAGAAATAAAAAAACAACTGTAGTAAATTTTAAAACAAAAACAGCGAACAGAATGTTTGATTATTTTTTTATAAGAAAACAGAGCGAGCATAATTTTAGTTAAAATAAATTTTCTTTTTTAATAACATAATGGTCTGCAGTATCTTATGAAAACCTTTTTTTTTTGTGGCAATTTAAAAAGTTTTTAGAAACAACTAGCATTCTTCCCTATTTAAACGGGTGCCGCAACAATAATTTTTAATCATCATTTTCTTAATAATCATTTATGTTTATCTTGTTCAGTTTTATTCTATAATAAGGTGTTGATGTAATGGCATTTTTTGAATACATGAATTTACTGGTGGACATGTTACTTTAGCTAAAAGAAAACTATTTTACTTAAGACTTTAGTAAACG